GTGATTCTTTGTGATTACATCATGTCTCGTGTGTTTTTGTCAAGTTTGCCAAACCGTTGTGCATTCTAGAGCTGCTCATGATTTGTGTAGATGGTATTGTACCTACCTTGTGCTGTCGCATCTCATATTGAACCGAAACGTGAAAGTGCAGCCATCGCCCTTGCATGACTAGTTTAGGGTAAGCATGAGGCCAGAAACGCCATGTGAACCATTTGCAAAAGACAAGGTATTCGCTCTTCAACTTCCAACATTTCATCATCAAATTCCTCAGTTCATTTACTGGATATTCTCACTTCATTCGTATCTTGAGGGGTTAGAGACAGCAATATCTGCCCACCACAGCCTCACTTTCGCCCAAAGACCAGGGTCGAGTTGTCGTGCCAACTGTATTCCACGAAGAGTCTCATCACGCGCCTCACCGTTCAACACGTTGTCAACTACACCAGAAAACATGTTTCGCATACTGTCCAGAACTCTAAGGACTTTCGGTCCATCGCTCAAGCGAGCACCAGTCGGCGTGCGCTTCTCGTCAACGCAGACATCGACGTCCAGTAACGCTCGTTATGTCTGGTCATCCGCAGCAGTTGTTGGCACTGGCACTGGTGTTTATCTCTTCAGCGATAAAGGCGCGGCGAAAACTTTAACAAATGAAGTCCCTAACCTGAGGGAGTTCTCTTCGGAGGAGCAAATCCCGACTAATTCACCTGTCAAGGAGCTCATTATGGAGGACGCAGATGCCAAGCTGCGTGAGGATGCTCACACTTTTGTCTTCGACGGGAACGGAGGTGTCAAAGGACGAGTGGACTTTGCTCGTCTTGGCAGCAATAATCCGATGGAGGATGAATGGGACCTCAAGATAGCCAAGGGCGTCGGCGGAACGAACACTCTGTATGCTGGAGTTTACGATGGACATGCGTGAGTGACCTGGAAGCATTTGATGTGAGTGATGCTAACACAAGCGAAAGAGGATGGGCAACCTCCAAAGTGTTGAGAGCTGCTCTTGTCCCATACGTGTCGAATGCTTTGTCAAGCATCACACCCACCAGCTCAAATGAGCTAGTAGACGACGCAATCAAGAAGGCATTCGTCCGTCTTGACGATCGCATCTTCAAAACCGCACAAGAAGCGCTAGAATCAGGCCAAGAACAAGGGTCTGCCTCCGTCATCATCGCCGTCGCACCCGCTATAGCTGGATCTTGTGCCCTCCTAACCATGTACGAGCCCAAGACCTCCGCTTTACGCACCGCTGTCGCAGGCGACTCCCGTGCTGTTCGTGGCATGTGGTCTCCTAACACAAGCAAATATGAAGTCGATGTTTTGAGCAAAGACCAGACTGGCTTCAACCAGGACGAGGTTGAAAGGCTCAATAAGGAACACCCTGGAGAGATCAAGGACATGATTAACCCAGAGTCCGGTCGACTCTTTGGAATGGCAATCACGAGGGCATTTGGTGACCACAGATGGAAATGGCCAGAAGAACTCATTCGCAAAGTTAAGGACGATTTCTACGGTACTGCACCGCGGCCAAATGCCAAAACGCCGCCTTACATGACAGCCCGACCGGAAGTCACAACACGAAAGATCCAGACAGAAGACTTCGTAATTCTCGCATCTGACGGTCTTTGGGATATGATGAGCAACGAGGACGCCGTGTCGTGCGTTTCGCGCTGGTTAGTTGCCAAGAAGAACGGCAAGCCCGAACCCTTCAAGGAGACCAAGTTTGAGGGAAGACTGGAACATGGCTGGGTAGCCACGCCAGAGCATCAGGTCATTGAGGATCTGGACAACGCGGCTGTTTGCTTGGTCAAGAATGCACTTGGAGGATCAAGACGGGGATTGTTTCTGGGAGCGATGACGACGTATCCGCCCATGAGCCGGAATGTGAGGGATGACATGACTGTGCAGGTCATATTCTTCAAGGATCCTTACGAGAAGAACTAGAGTATGTCGTGAGTGATTGTTCTCACTGTGGGTAGTGTAGAGGTCAAAAAGAAAGGTCTCAGAGGGAGTCGAACCCTCGCTGGCGGAATCAGAATCCGCAGTCATAACCGTTAGACCATGAAACCTTAGATCTTCGGGTAGCAGCGGCATTGCAGAGTGCTCTCAGATTCTGCTCCGCTCGCGTTCGACTCGATCAATTGTATAATGTTCAAGGCACTTCGGTTTCTCTTATTTGCTTCATTGTAGACTTGAGCCGTAGGCTAGTAATAGAGGTGTTGGCATATACTTTGAGGTTCAGATGGTGACTTCTGGCCATATCTCGATCTCTCAAAGAATCACCATTAAACGCTGCCACTTACACATGCAACCTTCAGCTCCTCTTCCTCAAGAATTGAACTTCAACCTTGCCATCCTCGTCCGACTTCCTGATACCACAGACGTCTTTGTCTTTGCCAGTTGCCTTAGCCCACTTCTGTATCTCATCATCCAACATCATATAAGCCCCGTTGGTGCCGTCAGTCATCTGCGCTGTCTGCGCAAGAGTATGCCAGGTATTCCCAAGTGCCGAAGCCTTGGTCTTTAGCACAAAGAGAATAATCGTTGTGAAAACGAGTCCAAGATGTACCGCAACAAGTACAAGAACAATAATAAGCCCAGCCCATCTAGTCGGTATAAGCCTATCTTCCGTATGTATAGTGCCCACAGGGTATTTGAGGTCATATTCTTCAAACCAGTTGTAATAGACCATCTGATACAGCCGAGTCATCAGGCCTTGAACCGCTGTGGCAGGATCTCCAGTTTCCTGTATAATGCTCTGGAAGAGCGAGATATGCGCAAGGTTTGCTGACCACCCTTGCTCGACTTCTTGTGCTGGCGACATCATGCCCCAAGTCGTATTGGACATTGATGGATGCTCGAGCCCCAGAGTCCTGTAGTATGGATCGTGGGTCGGTCCGTCTTCCATCGGAACGCCCTCCACAAAGTCTACAAGGCGAGAACTGACGTTCAGGCGCCGTCCGATATCGAGGTCAAGAATCCCACGCTTTGCGAAATCTTCCCCGTTCCCAAGTTGAAGACGAGCGCTGTCAATCTTGCCGGCATTGAGACTGGGTTCCGTGGTGGTTTGACGCCCAGACATACTGACGTTGTATATCTGCGCAGGGTATGTGTTGACAGAACAGAACGTAACACTCAGAACATGATCCCCATTGGTATCGTATGCTTTGGTCCATACATCCCCCATCTCATAAGTTAGATTCCGTAGACGTTTGGGCGGGGGACCTCCATTGGTATCTCTAAACCCGTCTGCAGCAATGTTGGTTGTCGCATTGACGACGAGCATTTGCTGGAAGCTGTGTTTTCTCTCTGTCTTGGGGTCTATTGGAAGTTTGGGCTGGGGCATGAAAGAGCCAGAGTAATCGCAAAGAGACACAGGCCAGCCTGTCAACTCGCCTCTATCTCGACAATACAGCATACACTGAGACGGACCTGTCGTATTTAAAACCGCGGACACACTATCTTTTGCATCTCCGAAGTGCGGGCTAATCATTCCGTGGGCGGAAATACTCGAGTTCTGCAACGGAGGCGCGCGACAAATGGTACGAACATTGGCAACCAAAGCAGGTCCATCGTAAGACTCAAGCGATGTTCTCGAGGCCGCTTCCGAAAATGGCAGCATGGCACGATAAATATCTCCGGTATCACCATACTGAGATTCCCCAATTCGTTGCTCTGCGAAGCGCCATTGCGCATATGGCCTAGATCCCCAGTACATAGGGCCCTTGTAGTTGAATCGCCAATCGGCAGGGTGTTTGGAGGCGATGGCATGTTCATGCGTCACGCCCGGGGAGGCCACCTTTGCTGTAGTAAAGTCAGAGAGAAGAATGGTAGAGATAAATGTCGAAACCGCCATGATAGCCAAGCCCAGGATAATAATGAGAGAGTACAAGATGCTCAAGGGATTCCTTGTAGTTTGCCTGAGGACTGCTGGATAGATGTTGATGAAGCCCGACTTTGAAGCTCTCTCGGAGGATAGGATTGGAACGTCGTTGAAGCGAACGCCTGTAGTCTCGAGAATAATCGCCGAAAGTGCGGCTGCAACGACACTGGCCTGGACTGCGATAGAGGTGCGTATGATTGCAGAGCATATGGTGGCGACTCTGGCGGCCCAGCCGGTTGTGACTATGGTCTTCCAGAACTGAGGCTCATTGCGATCACGCGCCAGATCAGCACCACGCCAGAGATATATGAGGACACCACATGAGGCAAGTGTAAGAGTGGTCCCAAGTACAAGGGAGAGAAAGCTAAGGAGCCCTATGCTCTGCCATAGAGTGAAGCGTCGTCGTGAAGGGCATACTTGCTCCGCCGAATTCTTGGGAGTGAGGCCTGGGTCAAGTAAGCTTTGGCGAGAGCTGCATTGAGCCTCTGTTGGATTTGGATCCTGAGATTCAATTGACTCGTTTTGACCTCGTCTATGAAGAGTTAGAACCGGAGGGCTGAGATAGCAGAGAAGTTAGGGTAGGAAATACCTCGTGGACTCGGTGCGCTGTGCTTGGTACTCAGCCATATTTACTCAATCAATACTCTACCAAGCCTGATTGAGTATCGGAGAATTAGGGACGGGGACAGCCTTGGAACTTGGATTTAAGCATGTTTAATGCTCCTGCCTGGAATCAAAATAGTTCAAGATCGACATTGCTGACAAGCCCCCAGCCTCAGAGGCTCAGCGGAACATGCAGCTTTCAACCTCTCACATACACCAATCAACTCAAAGCCGTACTGGGATCAGTGGATGAGCCGTGAAACCATACGTCACTCCTCACTTGGCAAGCGAGCCGATGCACACATACTCGCATCTGCATATCATTTACCATTTCTGTCTTAACGTGGTAGAAATGAAACGTAGTCTTAGGCACCGAGAACTTCCGCCCTTAATATAACCCCGTTACTAGAGGTTTACTATTATGACAGACTTCATTGGGCCTCTATGGATACGATTATGTGATGTAATGGTGCAAGAGAACCTGGCTGTTACATGCAGTATTTGATCTCGAAACGTTCTACTTCTTAGGATTATTGACAGGCGTTATGGGCGATCCGGTCTTGAAAAAAGCCTTGATGTTCTCGAAAGCCTCTCGCTCCCCTCTCTGAAAAGCGACATCTGTCAGACCACCAGCATGAGGCTGAACGACGACTTTATCACTTGTTCTGAAGTAATCGTTCACATCAGGCTCGTTCAAAAAGACATCCAGTCCAGCACGTGTAATCTTGCCACTTTCCAAGGCCTCAATAAGGGCATATTCGTCGATGATAGCTCCCCGTGCAGTATTAACGATGAAAGCACCGTCTTTCATTGCTGAAAATTCTTTAGTCGAGATAAGATTCTCTGTTTCCTTGTTCAGAGGACAGTTGACTGAGACGACATCCGACTGGGAGAGTAAGTCATGCAACGACGGGCAGTACGTAGCGCTGTACGTTGCTTCCTCTTCAGCGCTCAACTGTCGACGATTGTAGTACTTGATCCGCATGTTGAAAGCAACAGCTCGCTTGGCAAGATACTTCCCGATGGCGCCCATGCCTATGATCCCGAGTGTCATGCCTAAAGGATCTCTACTGGGAACAACAGGACCTCTCCAGCTCCCATCGCGCACTGAGCGCTCACCGCGGTATGTGTCTCTCACAACAGCTAAGATGAGAAAGAGAGCCATATCAGCGGTGGCTTCAGCGACGGCATCAACGCTGTTGCAGAGCCAAATCCCCTCTCGAGTTAACCAATCGACATTAAAATCGTCGTAGCCGGCTGCTGCCGAGGCAATGATCTTGCAGTGAGGAGCGAGAAGTTTGAAGATATCTTGGAAGGGGCGATAAGGAGCTCTGCCCATTCTGACGATGAAGGCATCGATTGGGCCGTGTTGCTGGAGCATGAGAGGGAGCTTCTCTAAGGCGTCTTGGAGGTTACTAGCATCAAGGACCTGAGCTCAACTGGTTAGCACCCGGGGCGAATTTGAGCAGGTAGAAATATTGAGAGGATTATTTTGACTAACATCATAATCAAAATCTTTCTCGAAGTCTTCGATGTACTCATCACTGATGAATTCGGGTTTTCCGAGGGCGACGACGCGGGGTTTTTTCTCAGAGTCGATTCCTGATGCCATGATGGTAAGGATTCTTAAACTGGTAGAATTTGTAAGAATTATTCCAAAAATGAAGTTTACACGGCTATCAAAATTCTTGACGGGTATAACCTGCGAGCACTGAGTGTACAAATTAAGAGGCACGAGGTTGTTCAATTTGAGGCTGAAGTGGAGATGTATCCGGCATTCAGAATAGATGCCGATCCATGTTGCAGACTACGAATGATAGCCATTCTACACCAAAAGTGCAAGAGATATACGAAGTTCACGAGGACTGATAGAAAATAAGCGTTTCAACGGTCATAAGCGTATATGCAGGCCAAGTTATAACTGTCAGCCTTTTTGAAAGCCTAAAACGAATCTATCTGAACTTTTGAATATCGCCTGAAAAACTACCACTCAAGCTCCATACAGTATATGAATTCGAAGAAAGGGATAAATTAGGACATTGCAAGAGATACCGGGGTTTTATCCGACGATGCGAGATTTATTCTCCCTACCAATTAGAGTATATACCCCAAATGAACAAAAAAGAAAGATTATGGTAGATGAGACAAAACAATCAGAAGTTTCCTCAGATGGCCTGTGCACCCTCAAGTTCCCTACGGATTTCCAGTCAGCATGGGCTTCTGTCAGGTCTTGACTTCTCCAGAGTGGCTTTTACACTTCACCTTCACAGCCCATTTCTAGGTAAGACACCAAGTCAGCCTCATGAGGGGTTGGCCACCTCCCTCTTGACCTGGATTACCCTGCACAGCCCAGCTTTCAAAAACCCTCGCCTGTGGTCACTCTCACTTTTCTCTTGATTCTTTTCTCTCATTAAGTGTAAGGAACATGTCTACCAGCAAAGATTCTCGACTCTATGCGCCTCTAGATCGATCGCGACGACAAATCCGCCTTGTCGAGATTCTCTCTACGAAACCAAAAATTGTCTGCAACCTTACCACCATATCACTCGACGAAGCTATCGAATTTAGCGCGATATCATATCTCTGGGGCGATAAAGGAGAAACAGAATCAATCACCGTTAATGGCGTGGCGCAATTCATCACCCCAAGCCTTGCAAATGCACTGAAATATGCACCTTATCACTGGGCCAATGCATTTCCTGAAAGAGACCCCAAATCATGTCGACTTTGGGCAGACGCACTCTGCATCAATCAAGACGATGATCTCGAAAAGGGCCATCAAGTGCAGCTGATGAAGTTGATATATCCTGCCGCGGAAGTTGTGTTTTCCTGTCTTGATATGGAAGCTCCACAGTCGGATATTCGTCTCGCTTTTAAGGCTTGTGAAACGCTTGCCAAATCAGCTGTAGAACGCGGTCTCGTTAGTTCACTCATCGACATAGATGCAACCATCGAAGAAAAACATATACAGGAGTTGGGATGGATCTTGCGGCATCCGTTATTGGATGAAAACTACCCAGCCAAGTCCCAGGAATTCGCGGACGCAGACCAGGCCATGTACAGAATGTTGAAATTGAAGTACTGGGAGCGAGCTTGGGTTTTCCAGGAACTGGTTCTCTCGAGGCGGGTCGTCGTGATGCATCAGCTTCTGTCTATTGATTTGAAACTCCTGCTGGATGCTCAATCCTGCGTTGACATCATCAAGGAAATGGCAAGCGGACCAGAGACGGACCAGGCCTACCAGTACTTCTGGTATATATATTGGCACAGGTTTTTGACGCTGAGACAAGTCGACTGGGCACGGGTGTGTGTCCACGAGGCTGCAAAGGCTGATGAATCTATCATTCGATCGATGCGGAGCTTTCTGCTTCTCGTGGGCGGGATGTATCGCGCCAAAGACCCAAAGGACCATGTCTACGCTTTACTAGGGTTAACGACTCTTTGCATTGAGCCTGACTATACTAGCAAGACGACTGTTGCCTCCGTGTACACTGAGGTATGCACGGAGATATTGAAGTCGCAAAAGTCGGTGAAAGGTTGGCCGCTTTGCTTTCTTTCAGGAGCAGGTCTCGCAAAGCAAGGGCAGAATCAACAGTATGAATTGCCGTCCTGGGTATATAATTTCCCCGAGACATTCAAGGGAAACACGGTGGCCCATTTCTTATTCAGAGGCTACGAGGAGCCAAACTACCATTGCCCGGAGGAGTGGGATAGCCTTGAACCAGCGAGTATTCGTGGAGATAGTTTGACCTGTTCTGCAGTCTTCTTTCACACTATCATCGATGCAAGTCCAGCGTTGGAGGAATCGTGCGATAGCTGGTTGAGCTTTGTCTCTGCTATTTTCAGAATGATACACCGGCCTATGGGGAACACAGAAGACCCTCATCCACTTTGGACACTCGCCCGAGCGTTCGGGGCCGACGATGATCAAGTAAATATATGGGAAACACCTGCGGCCACTCGAATGGTTCGGATACTTCAATACCTTTTATTAACCTGCGAAGTACCGACTAATGATGACGGGAGGTACGAAGCCGATGCAGCCCAGAAGGCCGAAGAGGTTGCACAAGGCATTCTTGACAAGTTGCCCGAAAACATCATGTACCAAGACAGCGAACAACCACCAGAAAACCGGAAAAGAAACGAAAGCACCAGCAAGATCTACCGAGAGCTCATTTCTCAGATCAGAGACAAAGAGTCTTTCTGGGACGACATGGACAATCAACAAGTGCAGCCAGATATCAGTGCTTGCCTCAAGTTAGAGCTAGCAGTCGGTCTTACAGACAGCGGCGAGTTTGTTCTACTTCCACGAGTGGCAGAGATAGGCGACCAAGTGGTTCTAATTCCAGGATATTGGCAGCTTTCATTGGTACGGAAAGAGGACAATCACTTTGTGCACGTCGGGGACTGCTGGCCTTGCAGAACGATGCAACAAGTCGCGGAACTGGCCCGCGCAAAAGAAATGAAAGTGATAGAGATACGGTGATGCAAGACAGACAGACAGCCCAGATTGCAGAATGTTCTCAGTATCCGTACAGTACGGGCAGTACGCGTGGACTAGACCCCTGAGCACACCATCTTTAGGCCTTGGACACGAATTGCCCTGCAAGGCCAAGCTACTTATTGTATTACACTAACGTTTAGATACAGCCACTGATGTTCTTAGCTTCATAATGGATGATAAGGGGGGAGCACTTGAGCATCAAATAACTTAAGGCTTAGATCACTCAGAGGCAAATGCTAGTTCTTGATATTTATTAATTAAATCGCAACGAGCTTAGACTAGAATTCACATGAACAAACCCAAGTCAACAAGGTGCTACGTAATGGGGCACCCACTGACTGCACATCCGGCCGTGGTTGCCGAAGTGTAGAGACCCCTGTTTTGAAGCTTGTACGAGAAAAGAAGCTGTTTTCTCAAGTCGAATGCGGCTGGAATTTTAGCATGAAGCTAGTGATTCAGGAGAACGAGAGCTTTTCTTCCAGGATGATGATCCCATTCAATTAGAGGCGTCAGCATTGGCATGCCTTGTATTATGTATATCCGAATGGCAAAAGAAAGAGGTCGATATAATTGCTTTTGTCTTTTTTCGTTGGTACGAGATCTGGATCAAAATCGAACGATTCAAAAGGTCAAAACTCCGAACCAAGAATCGCGGGTGTGCGGGCGCCTCCGGGTGCCGTTTGGCTAGAGAGCGGGAGCCCTGGGGGGGAGTTAGCCACTTCGGGGATTACTACTGACGGGTTTACGTTTTGGTGGCGGGAGGGAAATTTCTGGTTCTGTTTTGGATGAGTCGTGTTATGTAAGGGAGAAAGAGTTTTAGGGAGTTTTAATAAAAAGGAATGGATTGTTACATAAAAGCTTTTTGGCTTGTGAAGTTACTCGACTCGTGAAACTGAAGACTGCAGGGCATCTAGACCTGAGAAGCAGAGAATGTTGATGGCTGAGAAGAAGTCTTGGCAACTGCCAGGAACCATTTCGACGAACCAACTGAGTTACAGCCTCTGACCGACCAATGGCATTGTTCAAGACTCGACGATATCAAATCGACGTCCCAGCAAGTTGGATCATGGATGGATGGCCGTCGTACCGAATATCCAGAGGCACAGCTTCCGCAGCGTTACATTGTGTAAGCGAGGTTTGATGCCATCCAAGGATATCCCATGTCCATCAACCTAACCCACAGGGGCTCTGGGTAATGGTTCCGTAGCCACGGCTCAGGTACCAAGATATTTTTAAGTTTCACAAGTGAGAACGCGAGACTGACACCATCGCATCGCATCGCAGCGCAGCAGAGAACAGGCATCATCGTATCTGTTGGTTCAGCTGAGATTCTTCAATGTAGATCATTTTCCAATTCTATCCAAGATACGAGAGATTTTTCTTGATCAAGTCCACACGCCAGAAAACTAAATCTGCATCTTAAAACTCTGCTGCCCCAAGGCTCAAGCCATGTGTGTCATATCTCCGCTAGCTGCCAGGCCCCTCACGCAAGCCACCACAGAACTAAACTCCTTCTAGACCCCAAGTGCATTTCACAACACACCACTTTTGCTTTCGCTGCAGCTCCCAAACTGCCGAAACAGAGAAAGTGGGTGGGATAATTTACGATTCCAGAAGGGACAGAAAACTCTGTATCAGTGACAGTGACAGTCACGATAACAATAATAATAATCTGCTAACTGTGAACGTCCGTAGCTTCCGCACGGGTCAAGCGTTCCGTTTCCGAGCTCACTTCTTCCTCTGCTCCCACTCGGTCGCCGTCGCCCTGTGGAGTTGCATTACTGTCCGAAATCCTTTTAGTTCAAAGGGGAGGAGAAAGCAGGAAACGTTAGGTTCCATTTACTAGGCAGTAAATTAATAGATAGCTTGGGCTTGGCTTTGTATAAGGAGTTTAAGTCACCCGCGATCCAAGTTGGGTTCTACGGTTTCCTCTAGTTTCTTGCTCTAAGGAAACAAAGATTTGATGGTGCAAGAAACCGTCTCTTTCATGGCGAACAGACTCTAAAACCCTACGCTCCATCTCGTTCGCTATGACGGACCCTAAAGTCGCCCAGGCTATTGCCGATGGACGAGTCCCCAAGGGAGTAACGGCGGCGTACCTCAACCAGTCCAAAGATGCACCCGCCATTGTGGGTATTATCTTGGTGACTTGTATAACGAGTATTATTGTTCTTGGCCGTCTTGCATCGCGAGCATTCCTCATCCGACGATTTGGTCTCGACGATTCTCTGACTTTGGTATCATGGGTAAGTTGTTCTTCTTTTTCTCTTAATTCTCCGACCCCATCGCGGGTGCAGATCCCTCCCCACTGGTGTAGCATCGTCAAGAAACTGACAGATCGGTTAGGTTTGCTTGGTAGTATTCGTTGGCCTGTGCATCAAGCTCATCCAGCTGGGTTCTGGACGACATTTCGACTATATCCAATATGTTCTCGACATGCCGACGATTGAATACACAGAAGTTCTCGACTTTGGCGCCCATATCGTTTATACCGTTGCGCTGCTGTTCTGCCGAATGTCCGGTTTGGCGTTCTACCATCGACTCTGCGCTGTACACGACCGTCTTCGACTCTCCATCAAGATCGTGTTTGGTATCTTGATCGCTGGATTCTTACCGCAAGTTTTCCTTATCATCTTTCATTGTACGCCTGTTACGGGACTTTGGCCGTATGAGTGGCAGCCTGATTTTGACAAGTATACCTGCTTGCAATGGGGATTGGTCTACAGCGTCAATTCGTCGGTGTCGCTGGTCTGTGACTTGTTGCTGTTTGGTATCCCAGTTGTGATGCTTCGGGTGTTGGAGATGCCAAGAAAGCGAAAGATCCAATTGGGATGCATTCTTTTGCCTGGTATTAGTGTCATTGGCATCTCTATCACGCGGCTGGTGTTTGTCATTGAAGGGCAATGGAACGCTGACATGTCTTGGGCTTGTAAGTCAATCACATATCAGCAAGAAAACTTGTCTAACATCTCGCAGATAACCCAATGCTGGCCATTGAAGTCAGCGAGATCGGCGCCACCCTCATCGCCCTCTCAGTCCCAGGCGTCAAGCCCCTGTTCGACAAGTTCATCCTCCGACGAGACATCACCCAGGGCGAGAGTACAGGAAAGTCACGATATGCACAACAACACAGTTCCAAGGGCGGCACAGCATTACGGTCGCTACACTTCCGCCCCGAACACGATGTTCTCACCAGTCGCGACACGTCTGCTGAAGGGATCAAGACGTATCGCAGCACGAAGAATGTGTCGGCGGATAACACGAGTGAGAACAGTGCGGATGGCATTTTGGTGCAGGTGGATTTTAGGATAAAGGAGGACACGCAGGACTCTAAAAGTGGGAGCGATGCTGGACGGTCGTGGAAATAATGGATTGGCCTGGTTTCTTTGATGTGTTATGTATAAGTAAAAGTATTGGGATGGACTGCAAGCGATGACATTCAGGTCGGCAATGATCGAGCGACTTTTATTATTCTTCTTCATGAATACGCTTTTACGATACGGTGATGTTGGAATATCATGAATTGAATCATTTTATGTGCTTCTTCGTTGTTCGAGTCCTGAAGCCTCTCTGCCATGGAAGGGGAGGCATGAAAACCCAGGACTTCTGTTCTAAGTGACAAAAATTCTTAGGTAAGTCTAGTATATCCTAGCGAGCCTTTGACCAATTTATTTCGGCACCTGGTTTCATATTACACAGGATCCCCCTGAGGCCCTGAGGCCTGTCTCCCGACAAGCTGGAACACGATCTTCAATGCGAACTGTCACCATCCTTCCGAGTTCAATGCATGCACAACAATTACATGCACGTCAAATCCCACTTCTAGAAGGATTCATCTCTTCTTTCGTAACAGAAACACGTCCACCTTCCATATTCATTTCATCTTCTCCATCAAACACGGCATCAACGACCCGAATATGAAGAGCCATTATCAATCTGCGCGACTTTTCAAGCCTGACAATGCCTCGATCGAGTTTAGGCCTACCGTAAACCACAGTCCACTAAATTCTTTAGCGGCGCAGTCCGCTAAAAGCTTCTGTCAGGGTCCCCCTCCCCGGCTTGGCCTCCCCCCGCCCATCCCGGCTTGACTGATCCGTGGTAATCTTTCCTAAAGACGCGAGGGAACCAGTGACATGACATGGGCAATTGAATTGAATGCAAGGCCATGACATGACATTTTCTGTTTAGTTCAGTTGACGTTGTCTAGCGGCCGAATGTGCTCCCGCAGCCTCCGTCTTCGCCGATTCCCCAAGTTCGCCGCTGAGGCGGGCGGACACCCTTGTAGGAGTAATTAATTAATGTGCATAGCTTACCTTACCTGTCTAGGGAATAAACAAAACAGCTTCTATTCCCTCCCTCTCTTTGCTCTGAACACCACAGCCTTTCCGTTGCTCATCAAGTCCTATTCACCATGAAGCTTCTCGGGTTGTCGTTGGCCACGGGCCTCATCGCCCAGGGCGTGAGCGCTACACCTAAGCAGTCCAAGAATGAGCCTCTGTTCGCGATCCAGCCCAACATGATCCCATTGGAGAAGAATGCTGGGTCGCCTGATTTGTTCCCCATGCCTGATTGCAATGGCTTCAAGCTTGAGGAGGCTACTTTTACGGAGATGCAGGATGCTATGAAGGCTGGCAAGCTTACTTCTGTTCAGCTTGTGACTTGCTACCTCATGCGCACGTATCAGACTAAGGAGTACCTCAAGTAAGTCGACTGAAATGACCAATTGCATGGTCAATTGATGCAATTGATGCCTTGAACACAGCTAATATTGCGCAGCTCTGTTCTCCAGGTCAACCCCGATGCCTTCGCCATCGCAGCAGAGCGCGACGCCGAGCGCGCAAAGGGCAAATGCCGTGGTCCTCTGCACGGCATTCCCTTCACTGTCAAGGACAACATCGCCACCAAGGACAGTCTCGAGACTACCGCCGGCAGCTGGGCGCTCCTCGGCAACGTCGTCCCCCGCGATGCGCACGTCGTCAAGAAGCTCCGTGACGCCGGCGCCGTCCTCTTCGGCAAGGCTGCTCTCAGCGAGTGGGCTGATATGCGCAGCAACGATTACTCCGAGGGTTACTCTGGGCGCGGTGGCCAGGTTCGCAGCGCTTACAACTTGACTGTTAACCCTGGTGGTAGCTCTTCTGGCAGTGGTGTTGGTGTTGGTGCTAATGTGATTGCGTTTTCGCTGGGCACTGAGACTGATGGTAGTGGTGAGTTTTACTGAAGCTGTATGCTGTGGATTGCGCTGATGATGTCGCAGTGATTAACCCCGCCAACCGCAATGCCCTCGTTGGTATTAAGCCCACTGTTGGTCTTACTTCTCGCGCTGGTGTCATTCCCGAGAGTGAGCACCAGGACTCTGTCGGTTGCTTTGCCAAAAACGTCAAGGACGCTGCTCTTGTTCTTGATGCCATCTACGGTATTGACAAGCGCGACAACTACACCGAGGGTCAGAAGAACAAGACTCCCAAGGGTGGTTATGCGAAGTACCTCACTGATAAGAAGGCTCTCAAGGGCGCTACTTTTGGTCTTCCCTGGAAGAGCTTCTGGGCTCTTGCCGATGAGGACATGCAGTCTCAGCTTCTCGAGCTCGTTGACCTGATCAAGTCTGCTGGCGCCACCATCATCAATGGCACTGAGATCACCAACTACGAGACCATTGTCAGCCCCGATGGATGGAACTGGGATTACGGTACCACTCGAGGCTTCCCCAATGAGTCTGAGTATACCTACATCAAGGTCGACTTCTACCGCAACATCGAGACCTACCTGAGCGAAGTCAAGAACACCAATGTCCGCAACCTTGAGGACATCGTCAAGTAAGTGGGCTGGGTCTCAATCGTCTAAGTAATACTAACTGTGCCAGGTTCAACAAGAAGTACGATGGTGTTGAGGGTGGCTACCCGTATAAGAACGGCAAGGGTATTCCCGCTTTCGCCTCCGGCCAAGACGGTTTCCTCGCCTCTCTCGAGTCCAAGGGCATCCAAGACGAGAAATACTGGCAAGCCCTTGAGTTCTGCCAGACATCTTGCCGCAAGGGTATCAACGACGCTCTCACCTACAAGGGCAAGAAGCTCTCCGGTCTTCTCGTCCCTCCCCAGGTCGCACAGGCCCCTCAGATCGCCGCCCAGGCCGGTTACCCCGTCATCACCATCCCCGGCGGTTACGCCAAGGACTCTGGAATGCCCTTCGGCCTCGGAATCATGCAGACTGCGTGGGCTGAAGCTGAGCTTGTCAAGTGGGCTAGCGCAATTGAGGATCTTCAGCGATCTACTGATGCTCCCTCAAAGCGTCGTCTCCCCAAGTTCCTTGGATACCTTGAGCGCAACGTTCCCGTGCCCTTTTAAGCCGCGAGCCAATTGATGCGCATTTTGGATCGTATATAATAGTAGATAGCAATACGTAACTTTTAATGATATTATGGCTGAAGCCTCAACCAATGCTGTACGGTTGCAATCGGACTTGTGTAACAGAGGACATTCCATGACAGTATCACGCTGAACTCTATGACGCGCTCCAGTAGAACGTGAGCACCCACGTTTAGGAAGGGGGCCATTTCTGCAAAAAAAGTTGGCATGTGAAGCAAAAGAAATAGAGTAACTGATGGCCAAAAGGTGAGGTCCTACCCGGGTTCGAACCGGGGACTTCGGAAGAATTTGAATGGTGATCAAAATCCAACGTCCTAACCACTAGACTATAGGACCTTCGATAAGATGGCAGGCTCCAAATCAAGTCTAATACTCAGTCCGCTCTACCGAGGAGCACAGGCAAAAAGCGAGGTCCTACCCGGGTTCGAACCGGGGTCTTCGGAAGGCTTCTGAGGGTATCAAAATCCGACGTCATTACCACTAAACTATAGGACCAGACGATGCAAAGGCGTCACGATGTGGTATTTATATACGCGAGCCGTGCGTCTTCGCGACGACAGACTAAGAATCGATGGTGTTATTTACTTTATTTTAATGGCAGCATGTTATATAGGTTAATATAATTCAGTTTTAGGTTTGGCACGTCACATTGTTTCATCAAGTTGTCAAAATGGGGTCCAGTATCATAAATGTCAATTCTGCTCTCTGTCTACCGTTATACTCCACGGTCCATCGTCCTACTCCAGATCTGCCTGTTCAGAATGTCAAAACTCCAGAAATGTCACTTACCGTGCCCTTTTTATCTCGGCCATCAAATGTCGATCTCAAGCGATCCTCATCAAAACCCGGTTCAGCCAAATGCGAGTCCCTAGACGTCATCGACACTCACCCCCAACAACTTACCCTTAATAAGGTTCCTCCTGATCATAAGGCCGCATCTGGTACCAGCCATTCGCCTTGATCTGATCCTTCACAGCCCGAGGGAGAGCTTCGACTGGCACGCGACGGAGATAGCCCTCATCCTGGAGGCGCGCGATCAAGTTCTCAGGCTTGGGAAGATGGACCCGGACGGTAAGCTGCATGATGTCGCCGAAGACGGTGAAGGTGTTGCGGCCATAGACGAGATCGAGGCCATCACGGAGACGGTCTAGACCGAAGATCAGAGTTGGGTTGATGTTGTGATCGTAGGTTTCACGGCCACGAGCGGTATTCTTACGCTCAAGGCTGTCGCTGCGATTACGACATTCACAACGGTCATCATCGCGGCTGCGGTTGCGCTTGGGCATCTCAGAGACCATTATTGCAGCTGAAGTGAAAGAGGCGAGATGAGATGAAGATGCTGAATGCTGGTGGTGAGTATATACTGGTGTTGACAAGTTGTGTGTGATAGCAGTTGATGGAAATCTGGATGTGAGTGTTGTTAACGGGGAAAGAAATGACTGAGAGGGACGAGATGAAGAGGTGAATATATACGATCATTGAACAATGGAACTGGGATACTTTTGCGTGACTGTTCTCCAGTTTCACTGTATCTTTGGCACTGGCATATATCCTGGAATTCAATCAGAGACCCTGTTCTATGTACTGCTGTTTCGCAGAACACTGAGTAATCTCGATCATCCAAACAATAATCTGACGTTCGCCCAACAGTCAAGAAATCCGATATCGCGACTCAAACTAGCAATGAAATAAGAGTAATATCATTGTGAGCATTCAAGCCACCTTTCCCTTGTTCACACCGCCAACTCCAACCCCAGCCAAGAACAAAGCCCTCACAATAGCAACCCAACCAGTGAACAGATAGTTCCCCCAATCCTGCCATCTGAACATTGACAGTTCCGACCGACCCTGTTGTTTCATGCTGACAAAGACACTGATCAAGATGGCAATGTCGATGAGAAGCACGCCGCCAATGACGACTCTCCATACTTTGATATCGGAGCTGACTCTCAGAAGCACAGCCAGCATGATGGCGACAAACGCGAATAGTGCAGCGAGTTGGTGGAATAAGAAGGCCTGGTCTGGATTATACGCAGACATGCTGAGTGGAATGAGGCCATCGAGAATGAATTCGGGGGTGAAGATGAGAGCGTAGACGGTTGGGAGGACGGTCAGTGGGTCAACCCAAGTGAACCAGATGCGGTAGAAACTATAGACGTTGAGCTCAGACATGGTAGCTACTTCGGCGATTTTTTTTTTAACTTTCTGGCTATGGGACAAAAGAATGGTTTTGAAAGCAGAATTTATAGGAAGTAAACCGTAGCCCGTAGGGTAGCGTCAGCAAAGAAGCGAGACCAGATTGCGCTTCACGTCTTATGTCAGCTGACAACCAGATTTCGGAGCATTGCCATATAAGGCAAGGTTCCTACTCAAGAGACGATAGTGATTAAAAAATGTCTTTCTGTTGTTTAAACTCTTCCTATGCCGTCATTTCGCCTGCTTAAAGGATATGCGTGATGCTAGTGTCCAGGCTATCAGGGTTAAACCACCACTCAAGTACTCCAGTCCAGGGCATCTCCATCCAAGTAAATTCTCCTTCAGTCTTTGGAGGTACAGTACTGACGGCAGCTACATGAGGAGGTATCTGCACGATCTTCCCCGGCCTGGTCCCAACAAACAGTCCCCTTGAATCGCCTCTTGTAAGCGGTGTCTCAGCCCAGTCAAATCGAAAGCACCCAACGCTAGCCTCACCACCATCAGCGTACCGAAGCAATAACCCAGCGACCTTCTTATAAGAAGTTTCAACCATACGGCTGTTTTCCAAATCAAATTGTCGAATCACACCCATGTCCTTCTTATTCTTACTCTTGCAGACAAGAACTTCTGTGATGTTCTCCAAGGACGAGGAAGAATAGTGTAGAGTATGAAGCGGGTTGAAACGTGGCACGGCACCAAGCGGTGTTTGTCTCGGCGAAAGGGCGGCAATATGGTTGTATAGTACTCCTGGTGCAGCTATCAGAGGAATTCCATGGTCTGACGGAGAGAAAAAGACTCCAAGTGGAGTGTTCACGGATGTTTTCGCTATAAGGTTCCAGTGACGATGGTTCGAATATGGCGTATATTGTCCATGATGGTCTGGGAAACTCCCGGCAACAATAGTTCGGCCTTTGCTTGTGACAAGCTGAGGTATTGTCAGTTGATCGACTCATTGACTTTGAGAGTGATGGAAAATCTTACCGCAAGAGCTATGTCACTGGGTCTTTTGTATTTTTGTAGACCCCATGGTGTCGAAAAATGATATCGCAACCCGCCTTCACCCTGAGATGGGAGGGGTCTGGTTGTATCATATCTCTCGGACCCTCGAAGCCAGACCCCTTGAACGAACTCATCTTTTTGAATCGGATAGTATGTCCACTTGAGGTGACTTCGGTCTTCATAATCAGATTGCCCATCCATTAGTGTACGGTCGGCTTCGTGATGTTCCATGTTGCGATGAACATGAATTGAGACCATCTCGTCGTTGGCCCAACAGACGGAATATCCAGTTGTACCAGGTTCATTGAAAGTCAGTGTTCTTAACCTGGCCTCAAGACACCCTTCGCCCCAGCCAGCATAGTAAAATGTCATTGGGTCGAGTTCAAACGGTGCTACTGGACGAGGCCAAAGAACTCGAGGATAAATCGAAGGAGTCAATAGCGTCCGAAGCTTGAGGCCCTGCGCATACTGAGTTAGCTTCTAGTACACCTACATCGACTCGAGGACTTACATCCCCGTGGAAAGTGAGCATTTGGTTGTTCGCAGATACTGTTTGCCAATAGGTTGGATACGCAGTATCTGAAGTGGCTTCGTTTGGAACTAGAATGACCTGCCTGATACCCAGGTGGTCACTGGAGATGTATAGGCTTTCAGAAACTGACGGATCCATCAATTTTGCAGTCTGATGATTCGCAATGCGGGGAAAATTCGTCAGTGTTCCGACGTATTCCACGCCATCCATTCTGACGACTGTGGTCAAAATTGTGACCGACGGATCAACAGACCACTCAGTCTTGTGATGCTGCAGAGATAGCTCTGCTATGGCATAAAGTCTGATCAACTCGTCGTCATCGGACACAATGTGCCAAAGTTCTGATGATAGCTTGCCATATGCTTTATGCAGGGCATCCTCTATGAATTCCCGAACACGGCCTCTCCGTCGTTCATGCTTCAATGAGGCATGACGATAAGAGTGCTCGGTAGCAAGGCGGTACTCGTGAAGAGGTGTTCCAAAAGGAGCGGCCATCTCAACGCACCCTGTATGGAAAGCGATTGCGAGTCCCTTGTCATGATTGCAGTATGGATAGACGCAGTGCTTGAAAGAGATTCCGAGAGACATGTCGACGTGAAGAGGCGAATAGCACTTCTCGTAATAGATATTGAACGGCGATGATACTTGATTATCCGGAGTCACTACAGTTGGTCAGCCAAACCCCAGAGACGCCACTTAATGTTTTGAACTTACAAGCAATTATTGTATCTGTTTCTACTTTGATAGGGAAGCGGCAGAGTCGGCAGAGGCTTGCATCGACACATACTGGATTTTGAAGTTTCTCACAGGACATGTTTGATAAGAGAACGAAGGCGCCCTCTGATCCAACTTCCGTTGCTCCCGGAGGAAAAACCATAGTATTTCAGAGAAAATGTCACAAATTAATCGTGGAGGAGGATGAGTCTGACCGACTCCGAGGAGATAAGACATTTTGAGGGCTGAAATGAGGAGAGCTGAGACATAAGCTGAGGTGGTGACGTAGAACAACCAACCACGAGACGAGAAATCTGATAGCGAATCGCTAGATCCCCTCCTGATAATTGACCCCAATTAGTTGATTTGTTTGCTTTTACGAATAAACTTATTGTATTTCTATCGCGAGGCAAAGTTTCGCTGTTCATGATCTTTGAAAATAACATGCTATCTTCTGAAGCTATCTTGGCGGTTCGTGCACCATCAACGCTTTACATTCTGTTCAGGCGCTCAACCTCTGCATCAGTATCTAACTCTGGATAGTCTAAAGATGTCTTAGGGCGTTCCAGCCGCGGCGCTCTCCATCGCCTTGGGGCAAGCTTCCTTTCCCAAATGTCTCTATAAACCTTCTTAACTGGAATGGCATCTCCTGGGTCTATACGAACCGTGTTTTCGGAGGTTGGTAAGATAGTGACCGGACACTTGATAATGGCGTCCTCGGTATCTGCGAGAAGAAAGGATATCAAGGCCGACTGCTGAGTATCGAGAAGCTGACAGACACGAAACGTGACTCTTGCGCGGCTACACTGAAAGTATAAGTTGGGCTCGTCGTCATTCGTCCATGCTTGTGAATGGTCAAAGAGTGCTACTCCGCCTAGGATACGATTCTCTGCCCAATATCCAACCATGTCACCGACACCGTTTGGGTACCGGTCATAAGCAGTGAACTGAGTCGCAATGAACATTGTCGGCTTTGGTGTGAAGCGGCACAAATTATCAGGAGGTCGCTCCCACTTAATCGTAGACTCAATATCATGACCGGCAGTTGTAGCAGGGTCGTGGACTTTCTCTACCTGTGACAGTTGAACACCGATTTGATGTAGTGCACACGCAGTCATCTCAATCAGGCGTAGCTGAAAGGATCTAGATGAAGGTTTCGTCTTTTGATACGCATTCAATTTCTGTCAGATGTTAGTAAATGGAACAAGTGATTGAGAGTTACGGGAGAGCATACCTCAAGATCAACCATCACATCAGCCATGGAGAACTGTGCACGGAAACCTTTAGCCTTCTCTAATGCCCCTTCGCAAAGCGTTTTGTGATTGATTATAGGATGAGAAGGTTCATATGTGGCCGAATATCGGTCCCAGACAACATCAGCGGTCGGCAGACCATCAATAATCTGGGCGAAGGTCATAAGCGCGATATCGGTGTTAAGAACATTGCGGAGGGCTAGAGATAGAGAATCGTAATGATGGCCCTCAAGTCGGTCGAGCCCAACATATTCTGGAGATGACATTCTGGTCTACGAAAAAGTAAGAGTGATCTGTATGATCGCAAACGATGCACAAATGGGCTTCGAAGAAGGACGGCAGAGGAGAGTTCCATTGAGTCAGCCGATTCCCAAAGCGCGCGGCTGCCTGCAGACCTGTAAATACTAGTTGTGGGTGGGGCAGAGTGCACAAAGCTCTATGTTGGTCCAACGAGCAGAAACTGCCCGTCATATCTAGATTAAGATAAACAGGGGTCAAGCTGCAACATTTACCGGGGTTTGGTTAGCAAGAATAAGGTCCCTATTTCGTCACCTAGAATGCCGGAGAATACATAGTTGTTGGACTCTGGGTAACCATGGGGAATACTTCGCGTGTTAATATTGCTAGGAAACTGACCCTGGTTTTATGACCATGGGGCTTATGCTTCGGGGAGGATGAGAGCATCGATTGCGAAAACTCATCACTGGAGTAGCTCCGAGTTTGAAGCTCCAGACTATCTGAGTACGAAAGTGTTCCGAGTTCAAGCATCGACAGGAAACAGAAGCGGATCCCTTATAAGCCGCTCCATATCTTCTGACCTGATGTGGATAGAAATATCAACCCCATTATCCGTCCAGTACTTCCCCAGAGGACCCGATGCCTCTTTTATCAACACATTCCCATCCATTTCCGGAACTACACCCTCAGCATAACGACACGTGGATCCCAACCCAAAGTCAACTTCATATATCCCCGCTCGTGCCCAAGTCGTCACCAATATATGCCGCCGACCCAAGAATGCTTGCCATATCTGTTGAGGAGACTTTTCAAAAGCTAGGCTGTGTAGATGCGCGGCCATATTGGAAGGGTCGGAGATCGTCTTGAGTGTGTTGCGGACTTGAGTTGCTACCTGAGTCATGCTGGATGGGTTGGTGACTTGGCAGGCAGGGAGTTCGATGTTCATCATCACGACTGGAGATCCAAAGAAGTCTTCTTTGAGTTGGAAGGAAGAGCGAACGCCGTAAACTAGATCGCAGTGAATTGGGTCTGTGTCATTTTCAAGGCCGCGAGCGCGAGCGATGCAGGACCAAATGTGAGATAGTATTGCATCGTGCTGACTCAACTTCTGCGACGAGTTCTCATTCGCCTGTTTCCAAAGATATGTCACCTGTTTCTTGCTCAAGTGAACAACGTAATTTGAAACAGGCTCGGCAACATTCCATTCAGCCCATGGCATTGGTTTGCCGGCGGGCTCAAGCTCCTGTTTATCAAAAGGGGATGGGATCTTGAACGGCCACGGAGGTGTCGAGTCTGGGTGCCACCAGTCAAATCTATGCATTGGTAAACTTCTTGCTCGTTGTATGATGTCCATGTCTGGTTCGTCGGCATTGATGTCTCCGGTCGCCTGATTGTCGATAAGAGTAGGATTGAATACAGGCATTGAAGTAGAAACATTATTCCCTAAACCTTGGCGACTTTCGTTCGCCCAGTGCTTGATGAAAGAGAGAAGAGTCGTGGCGTCTGCGAGAGGATGCGCACCATTGAGAGCAAGAACAAAGCCCCCGCAAGAAAATTCGGTGGTTTGAATGGCGAGAAGAGGATATAGTTGATCATTTTTGTCCTTCACGATATCCCTCAGTGGCTGGGCGATCGTGACAGGGGCCACGAGCTTCTGAAAGACACTGGAGTCGCACTTCCAGAAAGGCTGCTTTGATATCCTATCTGCGGGATATAAAGACTCAAGCGTAGCATCGCATTTGGCATGAACAAACTCCACGCCAGGATCATTATCAGTTCCATAATGTGCGTAGAGACGTCCAAACCGCCGAGCATGAGGCGGAAACGTGCTTGCTTCAGGCGGAACAATGCCATCTGTCGACTTGACAGCTTTCAGATGGCCGCCCCATTGCGGATAAAACCGAAGAGTCCGAGCTAGCGACTCACGTAAATGGTAGGCTAAGTTGAAGTCGTCCCGAGTAGGCTTTTCAAATAGCCATATAGCGCTGGCGTTGGAGAAGTTTGCGGTTGTGCTGTCGAGGAGAGATAAAGGAATGGCTTGTTCTTGGGAAGTAGGAATGTTGAGGCGGTGAGCTTCGATGACTGATATATTGATGGCGGCCATGATTGACTTGAGGGGATATCATAAACTAGACTGAGCACTTGCATGAGTGAAGCCATAAGAACAATGGCCATTTATAAATATTTTGCAGATTGATCCACTTCATCAGATCTGGAGCGTTCCGTTTTGGGATGATGGGGGATGAATCATTTCGGCGAGCCTAATTAAGCAACTGGGTCTCACTGAAGAGCTATTCCAAAAGTTCTGAATAAAATGCGATGCATCTCATCAAAATAGTCTATGTCGTTATTCCTAGTCGATATCGCGTACAACAATTTGTTACAATTCCCAACCTTATCTTGACAGCCAGGACAGAAGATTTCGAATAGAATGAACACTCGCAACGTCGTGTTCTTGAAACACGCCGTCTAATGTCGCATCTGGATGGTCCTCAATCTTGCAAACTTTTGCCTCCGGCCCCTCATTTGACGACGACCGCCAATGCTTCAAATCGGCGATGTTTTCGCACTCGTCTTTTGGGTCGAGTAATACAGGGTTCCAACCCGCATTGGCTGACCCAAGTACATCGTTCGAATAATCATCACCAACATACACCTTCTTCCATATGCTAGTCTCTCTTTCGGCTTCACTTAAGGTCTTTCCACTACGGGCACTGATGACCTGGGCCAGCATGTGTTCTGCGGCGCTGAAGATGCGCTTGTCTGGTTTCTCAACGCCCACGTCGTAAGACATGCAGTGGAAGTCAATATCGTAGGTCTTGTCGCTGATTTTGGCGAGATCTGATTTTGTTCCGTATCTGAATGGACTCACGGCAAGACCTAAGGATGAAAGAATGCTGGGAATTCGATCATCTGAATTTGTAATAACGCCAATGACAAGACTGTCAAATTCTTGAGGCGGGTTTCGCCTCAACTTCTTGAATGCCTCAACGAGACTTGGTTCAGTGTCATAGCCTTCCTTGGAGGAGAATCGATGCAGTAGCCTCGGGGCTAGATCTTTTGGTAGAGGTCTGTCATCTTTTGCCAAAGATGTGAAGGTATTATGAATAACCTGAGTGATGTTAGCTTTGTTTGTCTGGCGAAGCTCCCGCATACGAACGTTAGTCCACCAATTCGTCGCTCCTAACCCCGTCTTTTTTCCAAAATTCGGATTCGTCTTGGACTCTTGTTTAAAGGACGACTTGAAGGCGGCGTGTAGCTCATCGTCGTTGAAGTTGGTGAATCCGCATTGGCGAGCGACGTCAGCGTATTGCTGCGCAACTGGTCGAACAGGTCTTATTAGAGTTCCGAATGCATCGAAGCATAGGAGAAGGTTTCGTTTTGACATGATTGGCTGGATCGTAAGGTTTGCTGTTGACGGGAAAGGGTCAAGTTACGGGTTCAAGAACGGCATTGTTTTTGACTCCACCAGATGATTACGTCATCTCGCGACGTCGTTCAACACGGGAGCTGATAAAACATGACATTGGAGTCAGGAATTACGAAATAACAATCACGTACGTGTTGATGGTGAGTGCCCAGCAGTTCGAAATTACTAGATGTCAACAATCTTTGCACATATTTCAAAAATATGTGTCATGTCAGAGCCGATACCAGTGGGGTATTTCACAGTTGCAAGCTGGGAATTAGTATGCCTGAATCACGTGTATCTATTCAGGAGGGACTCTGAGTTTAAGATCTAGCTGTCTATCCGTGTACTTATACAGCAGTCAAGAAGTTCCGAACCTGAAAGTCCAAACATCTACCCATGTCCAAGTTCAACATCCTAAAACTCCTCGTGCCGTGCTTGCGCATTTGTCTTGTGACTTCTTCATGTCTAGCCTAGACTCCGACCGAAACACTGTGGCCGAAAAAAAAAGAAAAATGGGGGAGTGTTAGTTATTCATGCCGCCTAAATGCGAGGCTGAATGAGATACTGGCGCATGCCAGAGTTTGCAGCCTTGCCGAGAGTCTTGACGTCTAGGCCCTGAGCCTTGGCGATGGCATGGATCTCGGCCTCTCCACGTTTCCAAGAGGGAAACATGGTATAGACCGTACCCTTCTGAATGAAGTAGTCGTTGTAGCGGCGACAGACCATGTCGTGCTGAGCGACTACCTTGAAGTAGTGCATGGAGTTGTCAAGCTTCGACTCGTAGGTCCAGGCGATGCGAGGGTTGGCGTCAATGTCGGCGTGGGTCTGAATACCCTGGAGGTAAGAGATGAAGAATGCATCGTATGCCTTAGTCTGGTAGGCAGCATGAGTGGACGAGGCCTCAGTGCCGGAGGGACCATCCTGACCGACAATCAACTTTGAGTAGGGGGATCCAGAGAGGTGCTTGGAGAACTCATTGCATCGATCAACGCACATCTGGTCCGGTGCATTGAAGAAGATAGAGCCGAGCGACAAGAAGATTCGGGGGTTGGGGAGAGTAGCGAAGTACTTGTCACCCTGGATGAAGTTACCCCACAGGCCAATGCAGGTGATTTGAGGGAAGTCGGCGGCGGACTTGTTGACATGTTTGGTCAGAGACTCCTTGCAGAGGTCGAGAGCGATGTAGATACAAGGCTTGCCCTGCTGGATGAAAGCCTCGACATAGGGAACGAACTTTCGGGAGTTGGCAGCTCCAAGGTCGATGATTACAGCACCGGTAGCTGGCATGTCTTTGACGACATCGGAAGCAGTAGACTTGATGATGCTAAGTTCATCCGTAGTTTGGTATGAGGTATCAGCAATCTCGCACCAATGGTGCATGCCGGTAGTGTATGCAACCTCCTTTGAGAAGTAGCCCTCTCCTTTGAAGGCGCTAGGCAACTGAGTGTCAAAGGTAGTGTTGAGGGTCGATCCACCGATATCGATGATCTCCTTGTGAGCTGGGGCCCATGACTTGGTGTAGAGAGGTGACATATTGTATGATGTCGGATGGGATGAAAGTTTTGTTCAGTGTTTTGAGACGGTAGGTCTTCTTGAGAGGAAAGATAAAAGGTTGTTGTGAATATGGGTAATGTTGATAGGGAGTTGGGTGAAAGATGAGATGGTTGATCGTTGTGGTGAGCAAAAGAAACAGTCGAAGTTGATGGAGAAGAGATGGAAATTTATACGGTGGAATTTCTAAACATTCTCAGGAAGATTCAGAGGCTGTTTTGCAGCTTTTACTCTGTTCTGCCAGTGCCAGATACTCTGCGGCCGCATTGCCAATGGTTACTGTGGTGTTCGAGCCGTTTGTTCAAAAATGGTAGGCTAAGCCCTCTGACACTTGCAGCTACGTCGCGCAGTGCTCCTGGCACTGGAAATTGTTTGGCAGTGCTGTAGCAGCTTGTGTTGTTCCATGGGTTGTCAATAATTCGAAGGAGAAGCTCTTTGGAGGCGTCTGGGAGCTTTGAAAGAAAGGCATTGAAGCGTTGCACATTGCTTATGAACACTATAGCTCTTTGTGATATAAGAAAGAGTACATCAATAATATGAGAAGCCCAACGCTTTGCGAGTTAGAGTCTATTAGTTTGGCTGCTCAACCTGATAGGAAATATCTAAAATTGAGTGCTATTATCCCCCAAGCCCCTGAACTAATTCTCGTCACAATGCTGGATGTAACTCGTGGATTGTTCGTCCCCCCAGGTCTCTATGAACACACATACTTGTAGAGACACGAAATAGGGACTGAGGGACTGTGATGCCAATCATCTTACTTGATGTAAATTTAGAATATCACAGCAAGCTGTCTAGCTGCCCAAGAGGGCCGACCAAAGCCCCAACCCAAGAGAACCCCCTCGGAGGGCAAGAAAACATCATGTTTTAATTAAGGATGTCAAAATAAATTCAGCAAAGGGTATCCTGAAGATACTCTAAATTTGTGCTAATTTGACTCAGTATCTTGGCCTTTTAGGATCAAGGTCCTGTGTCTTCTTTGTTCTCCTAAAGAACTAGCCATTGACAAGATTACTTTATTACAAAGACTCCTACGTATCAGATGAAAAAGAAAAACACTATTTCAGACGGTTCTTGGTTGACTACTAGTGGTAGTCAAGGAAAAAGTCATTGCAGACGTAGATAGCAGTCCGCGCTAATGCTTCGATCATGGCCTACGAGGTTTGACAGTTTTGTATGAATACGAAAGGCTTCTGAAAACTGGATGAAAAGAAGTGACAGATCAAATGTCCCCGCTGAAGCTTACCTTCATTCAGTGTTCTTTGCAAGCTGTCTTGATCAGGCCAAATGTCCAATATTCGTTGCAGGGTAGATGCACTCAGATGGATGTCTTGGCAACGCGGAAAATTGTCAAAGTTAAAATACGAATAATATGCGAGATCTAGGGGTCCTGAATTGCACAGTCGCATCGATTGTGGCGATCATCCGATCAACGTTAGCATTGGGCGGCCTCTGGACAAAACTGGTTTTACAAGACAATGACTTCGTTGAAACGTTGTGATATAACCTTAACAGGAGCTCGCCCAGAAACGTCTTCTCGAATGTTAAGATCTTACTCCCAACTCTACCGCCACTTGCGAAATGCTCGTCACCAGAAATGATGGATGTGTGGCTGGGCTCACCTCCAGGAAGCTCACGCCACAGGGCCTCGCAGCAAGATCAATGTGCTATTAAGTCATGGAGTAGTCATTGCGCGTTAGTGGCAGCTCCCAAGAGGTGATCAGCGGTGGCTGAGGGGTTCCAAGTTGCGACCAGGTTGAATGACCTCATCATCCTTCGTCATATTGCAACGTCCATCCTTCGATAAGCCTGATTGACATTTGAACCGTTATCTCGCTGTTTCGTCAATCCAATTTTGTCAAATCCTCAATAATTGTTCATTCCTATAGTTATTCACCTTCACAATGTCGATACAGGCTGATCACCCCTTTGGCAAAGACAAAGAGAAGCGCTCAAAATGGAAGATCTTTAGCTCTTCGAAAGACAAGGACAAGGAGAAGGACAAAGACAAGCGCAAGAGTCAAGAACTTCAGATCCCAGAAACAGCAGAGACTTCAGGCGATTCGACATACGGAAGCAGTGAACCAAACAACTCATTGACAACAGAGGGCGATCTGAGCAACACAAAGAGTAACAGTGGATTGAGCCCAGGCAAGACACCAGACAATGCGACGCCTACCCCAAACCTCAATCCAAACTCAGGACCAGACTCTTACACCAGCCCGACGATCAAAAGAGAGACGGTGACCAATCCAAATACCGGACAGACAATTACAACGACGACAACTACTACGACTACTACCACGACGGTCACAAACTCCAATGGCACGACCCAAACAATTGAGGAGCCTCATCCTGTCATGGAGTTACCAACCGTCAGCAACCAAGACGTCACACCATCCCCGCATCCACCGCCTGTAACACAGCCCGAGCCCGTACAGCACATAACGCCCACGCCTGTTGAACCATCCCCAATTACCCCAACAGCACGTCGCAAGAGCCTAGAGACTCCAGGCCGACGCCTAATTCCACCCCGCGATCCAATTCCCTCTCAAATTTCCAGCTCGGATAACAATTCACCCGCAATTCCAGAGCGAAACTCCAGACGCTCAGCAGAATTCGTTCCAGCGCCTTTACAAGTTGGCCAGGGCGCTTTCCCGCCCCCGCCTCCGCCTGGGGATAAACCTGCTGCTGTGAATTATTCCCGACCTGCTAATAAATCGACACTTGCGAATTTGAAGTCCGCTGCTGCGGGTATTCATGTAAGTCCCCTTCAATTGACCCGCCTCAATTGATACTGACGAGCTCTACAGGGCGCCGGCGAAACTCTGCGCGGGACACTAAACTCCAGCGTCGACAAACACTTCGGTGGCACTTCCCAAGCAATCGAGAAGAACCAGGCAGCCATCGACGCAGGCCGCTACGAGATTGACAACCGCACATTCTACCACCCAAACGAATACCGTCTATCACGGCCAGAAGGCTCCGGTCCTTCCCCCGAAAGGCCGCCCATTCCCGATGCTCAATATGACGACCCACCGTTCAACATGGGAAACACGACAGGGAGCCCTGCAGTGACGGATCAGGAGAGGGAGAAGAGACACAGTAGACTGGGAAGTTTGTTCGGTAAGAGTGGAGGACGGTCGGCGTCGCAGCCGGGCGCTGATGCGACGCCGAGGGCTGAGAGGGGGAAGTTGAGAAAGAGGAGTAGTTCGGGGCCGGGGACGCCGAAGTTGAGTGTCGTGGGAGAATAGTATCATGCCACGGGAGTTGTATCATATACATAGCTTAATGCCACATTACGTACTCACCACGCGGAACAGATTGAAGGCTGTAATTCAGTGATAGTAACGCCGCTTGGTATTTGGCGCCCTCACATCAAGACACGAATGTTCATAACGCCAAAGCTCATTATTGGTATCTGAAGATAAAAGAGATCTAAACCTTGAATGTACGACTAGTTAGAAACATAATGAGCGACATATTCAACTTCCATATGGTTTCCAATTCCATCCTTGGTGCTAGAGTTAGGAACGCCAGGCTATAATCTTGTTAGTCAACGTCTCTCTTCCTCGGATTATTCAACTTACCCAATCTCCACCAACGGCAACATTGAAAATGACAAACATGGGACTATGGCAAAGCCTCTTCCAAACCGTTGCATTGCCAATTTGAGCACCCGTAACACGATGGAAGACCGTCCCGTCGAGATACCAGGTGATAGACTGAGATCTCAGGTTACTGCTTCGTCGATCGAACTGGACCCGCCAGACGTGATACTTGCTATCAGGGAGCGGAGTATTCGACGCAATACCGTTAGGCTCATTGCAGATTCCACCAGGTGCCTGATCACAGTGAACAGCACCGTAGCCAATCTTCTGCCCGTTGACATTCTCCATGATATCAACCTCTCCGCAAGTCGGCCACTCAACCCCGTTTCGGATCGCGTCACCCAGGAGCCAAAAAGCCGGCCAAATTCCCTGTTTACTCCTCGCCGAGTTACCCCCCAGACGCAAGCTGGCCTCAACTCTAGTGATCTTTCCAAGCTTGGGCGTAAGGGTATACGTGCTCTCGATGCGAGCAGACGTCCACTTTTTTGTCTTGCTGGAGAACTGGGGGATCAACTGCAGCGTGTTCTTGCCAGACTGTCGGAGAACACTGGTACTTTTCACGTAGGCTTGGATTTCATTGTTGTAGTTCTTTACGCGCTCGATGATGTTCCATGTGCTTGTACTGGGGAATGTGTTGGCTTGGCCTGCGAAATCTTGCTGCCAGACGCGCGTGTAGCCGCTGTAGGCTGGCGGCTGGACTGCTGCTGCGATGGCGAACAGACATGTGAAGATGGTGAGGATCCAAGGAGAGAACATGGTGGGAATTTTAAAGATAAGGGGAAGATAAGGAAAGGAATGATGCGGTGTTACCGCGTGGAAGGGAAAGGGAAGATAGTGCAAAGCGCACTTTGAGGAGAGTCGTCACGAAGTTGGTGAGAGTGAAATACCGTGAACACCATCTTTTCCAGGGAACTCCCCTTGAATATATAGATTGCCCATCTCCTTTAAGCTTACGAATGCCATGTCGGTCTAGAATGCTAGACGCCGTTCTGATAACAATAGCTTGGTGCCTGGAACATGTCTAAGGCCGGTTTCAATCCTTAGATCCAACGTGGGCTAACCCGGAACAGTAGAGCTAAGCCAAACGCAGCGCATTTCTCAACGCCACCATCTTCAATAGTCTCGTTTCTTTGATTGAAATATTGGAATTTTGTGGAATTGTGGCTTAATGGCCCTGGGCTATTGTGGTATTAAGCTTTGGTCCCTGATTCCAGGGCAAAAAGAGGTTAATGGATCTGGCTAAGCGCAGCTGCGCATGCCAGGAACGCGTCACTCTATTGGGTTCATGGGAATGATTGAAACTGACCAGGAGTCTGGGCTTCGAGAGAGGGCTGAGAATGAGATTTCCCATAACCTTGAGATAACCTTGAT